GAAAATTGGCCGAGAAGGTTATGGTTATGCGGCCGATTTGGGATTGGAATTGAATAAGAATTTTAATCCCGATATTAATTGGGAAACAAGTTTTCTTGTTCTTCAAGGAGTAGGGTTTAGCCGGAAGCCTATAAAAGGAGGATTAGGGATTTATTTTTACAACAGAACTGAACCGAAAACTGGCCGAAAACTTTACGGTTGCAAAAATATTCCACCTTGCCGCTGCAAACCAGCCCACCGCCGACCTCCTTGCTCTCCTCCAACTCCACGAAGCAGTCGGCAGCACCATCATCTTCTTCATCCACGCACCGCCGATTGCTTCCATAACCTCCACGCAGCCCATCATTACCGAACGCCACCATCTTCTCCACCTCTCCTTCATCCCACCGCCGAAACCGCAACACCTTGCTTCCTCTCCCTCCAACTCCACGAGGCAGCCACGCACCAGCCCTTCTTCCTCCTCCATCACCGCCAAACTCCCTCTTCTCCACAGCCGAGCACCCACCTCTACCTCTTCACCGGCGAGCCACGCAGCAGCCGCGAAGCAAAGCAACAACCGTCGGCGGGTTTTGGCTTCATTCGGTTTTAAAGTTTAATTATTTAATTTATTTATTTTTATTATGTCTCTAAATATTATTGAATTATTTTTAATAATGTTTAGTGGCTAAATTCTTTTAATCTAGGGCTTGGGTGTAGCCCGAATTTATTTGGTTTATTTAGTTCACTATTATTTGATTTTTCCATTAATTAATATTTGTTATTCTTGTTTTAATTCATGTAAGTAATTGGCCACTATTTGCATGTCTGAAGATACTAATTGAAGTAGCGAGAGTAGAAGATTGGTATTAGTTCGTAGGAATAATAAACTTAGGTTGTAAGCTACGGGAGTAAGATTATAACCTTTGCAATATTGATTCTTAATGGTCTTAATGTGCTTTTGTTAATCCCTATAGTCACGAGAGTAGTTATAGGGTTAATCTAAGTAAGAGAATTATAACACGAGAGTGTATAGTTCTTAATTAGGTGAATCGTTGTGAGATTAATGGAAGTTAAAAGTCAGATACTTATGAACTAAACTAATCCAAATATTCGGTAGGTGAACCCAATGTCCTAGGTTTTCTTTGTCTGATTATTTGAATTAATATTATTTGCTTTTATTTCATTTATTTATTTTAGGTTTAAATTTTATAAATCTGAGATCATCATTTATCTAGATAATAATAGGAGTAATTTATACCTGGTAATTAGTATTCCTTCTCTGTGGGATCGACCCTGCTTTCTGCTTTACTACTAGTAATTGTATTAAGTAGGTAATTAATATTTGACTAGTGTGACGACGGCTTGTCACTTATCTTGCAATAAATAATAAAAATATTCAAACATATGAATATCAACATTATAATGAGTAATGGTAGAGACAGTGATAAATTATAGTGAAATAGAATAATGACTAATGAAAAGACAAATACACCATTCTCACTAAGTATGTATACTTATTAAGTAAAAATGTAATTTTTAAGGAAAAATAAAATTTTAACGGGAAAGTGGCAAAAAAATTAGGGGCCAAGAATACTCCACATTACTCACTATCTTTTTTCATTATTTTTTTTCAACTGTACATGATATTTTCCTTTCAGAATATTCACAAAGAACATAATATTTCTAAATTAATCATTGTCCATACAAAAGAGTTTCACTGCAAAAGTAATAGTTAGTTATTAACTAAAGATCACAATTTTAGTGATACATTTAGATGATTAAATACAAATTTAACTTGTGTCTTTATACTTTTAATCAATTGACAACATTCTTTCTATTGTGGCTTTTCATGGAACCAATCATGCATCCTTTCATTTGTCTCTTTTAACTTAGAGTTAACAGATCTGTCCTCAGAACATGAATATTGAACTAAACCATATAGAAAACAACTTGAATACACCCTAAAATCTCCATGTTGTACGATTCTATCTTTATTATTTTTCACCGTCTTTGATCTTTGTCTCCTTATATACTAGTATTAATATCATGGCTATAATATTGTTTTAAGATTGAAAAATACGAAGTGTCTATAGGTGGAGAAATCACACAAGAATATGACAAGAAGATGAGTTTTTAAGAATAAATATTAAAACATAATATTGGGAAAACACCATTGTGAAAATTAAGTAGATTTTGGAGCATTTTGCTCAAACTACTAGACTAATGGTTAATCTGCAAAAGTCAAAAATATATTTTGGATGAATGTCAAAGGAAATGAAAAAGGAGGTTAAAGATATTTAGGGTTTCAAATTTGTTCCTTTCCAATACGATATTTAGGTGCTCCCATCTCCCCTAATGCTTGGAAGCAGGAAGATTGTCAAGGAATTGTGGACAAAATAACGGCTAGAATCAGATGTTGGTCTACTAAGCACCTTTCTTATGCCCGTCGACTAGTACTGATCAACTCGGTATTGATGAATTTGCATATGTACTAGTCTGGAATTTTTTTGTTACCACAGAGTGTGATCAAGCAAATTGAAAGATGCTGCCAGGAATTTTTGTGGGGTCAGAAAGAAGCAGGAAGAAGTTTGTCCTTAGTAGCCTGGGATGAAGTTTGCAGGAAAAAAGTGAGGGTGGAATGCACATCAGAAATCCAGGGAACTGGAATAAAGCTTTGATTAGGAAACAGATTTGGGACTTGGCAAACTGAAAAGAAAGTCTATGGATTCAATGGATCCATACTTAATATATAAAAGGGAAGGAAATCTAGGATTATGAGCCTCCTTTAGATAGCAGCTGGCACTAGAAGAAGCTTGTGAGAGTGAAAACTGAGCTTAAAGGAGGAATACAAATGGCTCTTGGGTAGGAAACAATGGCAGACCCTATACTGCTAAATCAGGTTATGAATGGATCACAGGTCAGCAGGACAAACTCATTCCCTCAAAACTTATATGGAGCTCTTATGTTTTGCCCAATCATAGCTTCATCTACTTGCTGGCTGTAAAGGGCAAACTACTCACTCAGATTAGGTTAAGGAAGCTAGGCATGCTACAAGAAGCTGAGAAGTGTGAACTCTGTTCAGGTAATGAAGAAAGCATTGATCATCTCTTTTTTTGCTTGTCCATATTCTGAGGAACTAATTGGTTGCATTAAATGTTGGTTGAATATATCTGTTTCCCTAGTAAGTTTAAGGACAAGAATAAACAGATTGACAAAGTTCTGGCAAGGGAAAAAAGCTAGACAGAAACTCTTCTTTGCTGTGATCAATGCATCGGTATATCATCTATGGATAGAAAGAAATGGGAGGAAGTTCAGAGAGGAATCAGAGGTGGCAGTGGACATGTTTGAGCAGTTAAAGGAAGACATATGTTGGAAAGTTCAAATATATTGTAGGAAGGGTAGTGAAGATAATATAAGTTACTTTAGATCAATTGGTGGTTTCACTTCATAATGTAATAGAATGACTTAGTTTGTACATGAACACACAAGTTTGTACATAATGCAATTTTCCATTTCCCAAAAAAAAAAATGGGAAAACACCGCAATCATTGGATGTGTTCTAAGTGAGTAATCACTGTTTTTAAGACAATACTTGCCCCACTACTTTGGAAAACCGGGTTTGATTGGCATCTTATCTCAACTCTCAAGGATACAAAGGAACACAAAAATATGCAATTTTACAATTATTCCATGTTCATTAATAATTTAGAAATGCAAGAAAGGATTATGCAACTCTGGACTAGTTCATCTATATATAGGCATACACTTACAGAACCACTAGTCATTGAAAGGACATTAATCAAGGTGTGTGTAACCTTTAAGTTTATAGTCAGCCATGACAAATTTTCACGGAAAGTTATATACTTTTTTTTTCTGCACCTTTTAAACTTCATTTTCGTTCATTACAATTTCTTATTATATTTTTTTATCACGAACTATATTGTGAACATGACACTCATTTTTGTGAATGTAAAGATACTAAAATGCTAAAGTAAATAATCAAATAAAATCACATGTTTATTTTTTCATCATCATCAAAACACTAAAATCAACAAACCGACTTAGCTTAGGTTTTTAGTAAGTTAATTGCATGATTCACTAATGTTTCTTGTCGATTTTATGATGTTCGAATATCAATTTGGTCACTAAAACTAGCCTATTCCGCACCATCGCCGATTATACATCATGATATGACCATCTCCTGATTGAGGTTCAACGTACGTGGCGAATTCTTCAACCTTCTTCTTTGAATGGTTAATCATATAAACTTCAATTTCTTTAGGTTTGGCCACAATAAGCTTCTTTGATGTAATTTTTAAATAATGAATTTGTTTGTAATATCATGTTTTGCTTTTATTTTTTCCTAGTCCATAATATATTTGTAGAATATAATTTACGTTGAGAACTATTAAATATTTGCAAATTAAAATTTTTTTTAAAAAAAAGAAAATTATTCGTGCCTTTATATCAACCCGATAAATTGATTCGAATACAATCAAAGCCCCAGAAATTGAAAAGATTAATGAACATTGGATATTTTTTGGAAAAAAAGAAACGAAATAGAGAGAATATCCTGACAATAACTATGTTTAATCACCGAATTATTTTCTTACAATTATAATCAATCATTATAATCAATTTTTTTACGTTCCGGGAAAATCATTTTTAAGCAGGTTAGTCTCCTCGAAAATAATTTAAATTAAGTAGGTTCATAACGTTTCATCAATGCAAATATTTTTTTTTTCAGTATAAATAACCCCCTTTTTCTTCAGTAAATCAAACCATCCCCGATATCCCGCTTCTCGCAACTTATCAGTTTTTTCGTTTCCCCATTTCTGGTAATACATTTTTCTACTTTTATTTTTTCTGAATTTCTGTTTTATTCATATCAATACTTTTTTAAAAAAAAAACTTAAAATCCATGAAATACGACAACAGATCGATTTGTGTTTCTTTTTTATCCTTTTTAAAATTTATCGTATAACTGTGTTTAAATATTTGTGTTAGAAAAAAGAGAGCAAATGGCATACTCGGGGACAACCGGAGCAGTTACTGGAAGCACTACACCGGCGGCTAGTACCAGTACATTGCCGGCGAATGTTTCCGAACCCGCAACCGTACAAGTTAGCATTCCATCTTCCCATGCTGCTTACCCGGCTTCCTCTTCGTCCCTGGCTTTCCAACAAAGCGTTGTGCTGGCGCTGGAGGCCCCTGCTGCTGCAGCCGGAGATGCGGCTTGTCCGAGGACGCGCAGACCGAGAATGGCCGCCGCTGACCCTGAAGGTTCGTTCCAAGGCACGCCGATACAAATGCCGCCACAGCAAAATGTTCAGGCGACGTCTCCACCACCGGTGGCAGCAGCTACTGGGTTTGAGTCCCAGCCGACGGCGGCGGTTTACTCAATGGCTCAGGGAAGTGGGTTATTAAGAACCAGAGGGAGACAATATGGTTCAAGCGGTAGAAGGCCCCAACCTGATGTTCAAGAATCTGGTATAGCCTTTTGTTTTTCTCCTATGGCCATTTTTTTTAATAGACTGTGATTATTAGTTTTGACTTTTTGTTCAGGTGCTTTCAGTTTTGTTTGATGATACTCTGTGGTTTTTAATTTCAGTTGAGGGGTTGACTTTGAGTTTTCACTTCTGCCCTAATGGCAGAATCTTGAATAAACTAAGTAATTTAATTGGGGTAAATTCATGGGCCTAATCTGATTCACAGAATCTTGGTATAATATGTCAATTTCTTTTTTATTCCATTAATCTCTCAATTTTTTGGGTTTTTTTTCCCCTTATAGTTGATTTTAATTGGTGGGGATAAATTTTCATTGGGTATGTTTCTAAACAATAATTAAGTACTAGTAGTACGTTGGGATTTTTCTTTACATGAAAGCAACAAACAAATGACAAATTTGGAATGAGAGAATCCAGTAATATGGAACATTTCCGCACTTTTAATAGATGCGCTCGTTCTAAAAATTTATAGTTATTCGAAAGTAATACGGTGTGATGCAATAACGATCTTTTCTGTGTGTTATATATCATTGACTAGAAAAGGACCTGCATATATTTAGTGCTACTAATTCAATTCATTTTTTATGTAATCGTTTTTTTTTTTTTTTTTTTGTGCCCATCTTACATTTTGAAGTTTCAAGTTAACATTGCATTTGCGACCAATGAAAAGTCCCTTGAAAAAACTCTGCATTTTCTTAAAATTGAACCCCTTGTACGAGTTTCCTTTCATTTCATATCATGATGGTTTGAGTTCCGTAGAAATTTAAAGAAAGTTTGTTGTACGGTACCAAGGAAGATAAGGTTACCCTACAAATTTGGATGCCCTTTTTCTCTGAAATGGGAAATTTATCTGTGAGTTCACTTCGCCTCAATTTGCAGGATCTTCAGGCAGCAAATTGACTGCATCTTTCCTATATGTCAAACCAGGAGAGGTAACTTCCGATACCATGTGGAAATCTGTATTTGCGTAATGCAAAAAACCTTTACTGTGTGAAGTCAATTTGTATGTAAATCACGAATATTAGTACATCGTTAGATTTGATGCTATTTTGCTTCTGATTCTCTTTTTGACTCACCCAGGATATATCAGCGAAAATCTTAGACTTTTTCAAGAATTCAAATGCCACTGGCATTAGTGTCTTGTCAGCAACTGGCATCATATCAAGAGTGACGGTCAATCAAGCTGCATCAGGAAGAACCGCTACATTTGAGGTTTTATTTCTTCACCTTTCCAATTATGTTCTTGCATATTTGATGAATGTAAAGTTTTTTGTTTTCTTTCTTTTTTGGGTTCCGAACTTATTGTTGTCCTCTTCCATTTAGGGTTGGTTTGACATATTGTGCCTCTCTGGTTCATTCTCAATGGCTGACGCTGGAGGACAGAGAAGCATGATAGGTGGTTTAAGCATAACGTGGGCTGGACCTGAAAACCGATTTTATGGCGGATGTGTTGCTGGCCCTCTAATTGCAGGATCACCTGTTCAGGTTTAATGGACTTGAATATCCTTCTTATTATATTACTCCCTCTGTCTCAAAATTATTGTCTAGTTTGAGATTTTATTTTTAGTATAATTTGAACTAAAAATGAAACCCAAATTGGACAATAATTATGAGACGGGGGAGTACTTTATATATTTCAGCATTAGAAGGACTGCTAACTTCATAAAAGTTCATTGATTTTGTTTCCAATGGTATTTTTCCTCCCTCAAAGAGATCCTTAGTCGTACTTCCCTGCATTGGTAACATACAATCGTGCAAATCTTTTTAGTTTAGTTAAGCTATACATGCATGAGTTTTTATCCACATTTTCAACTAATGCAACTAACATTGTTTCTACTTCTTTGCAGATTGTCATCGGAAGTTTTGCGGCAGATGGCGGCCGGCCAATATCAACAGACGGCGTAGAACCTCCTCCTCCTCCTCCGCCTGCTCAAGCATACCCTCCTTCTGGTTTTGGTGCAAGTAGTAGCTCGCAACCTTTTGGGACTCCTCTCGGTGGATCTTCTAGCAATTATGGCAGTTCCATCTTTAATCGTTATGGCAATCCATATATGCGATAATGTTTGTGTACTTCCAAATTAAGGAGAGGAAAACCTAGTTGTTAGGTGACATAGATTGAGTGTCAGTAATCCTAGCATTGGAGTTCTCTTGTGCTGTCATCCTTAGTTGAAGTTAATACATTGTTAAAGGAAAAGGCAACTTTTGGCCATTTAGTTTTAAAGAACAATTGTATTTGTTTCTGTCTATCTTTTTATACTAATAACTTCCTAAATTTCTGGACAAATTTGGCCTCTGTTCCAGCTTCGATTCTTTCCACTTCCAAGCAGTTGCGGTGTTATTTTGCCGAAATGGCCTATCTTTTATGCGTTAATACATAAGTATGAAAATCAGTGGACGAGACACCGTTCAGAGAGCAGTTAGCAGGGAAAAAAAAAAAAAAAAGAAAGAAAAGGAATGAATCTTCTCGTAAGCTACTCCTCTTAACTTCCCAAAAATAAAAAAATTGACGCCACATCCAAGATTAATGTAGATTTTTGTTAATTAATTAATCCATTTAATGTTTTAATAACTTTATTGTTATGTGTGAATTAAATCTTGGACTAGAATAGAGTGAATTCCATACTAGTTATAGTAAATGTTATCTTTGATTATTGATAGTGTAAAAAATATCATTTATCTAAAAAATGAAATTATTTTTCTTTATTAAAATTAGAAATTTTACAAGACAATCATTTTAGTACAAAGAGAGTATTATTTATCTCCTAAAATACTGCTCCCTGCATTTCAAAATATAGGTCGTTTTACGTTTAGAGAAATATTTCAAAATGTAGGTCATTTAAGGATTTCAAGGCAAATTATTGGTTAACTTCTCAACTTTGCCCTCAATAAATGATGCTAAGTACTTTACTTGTAATCTTGATTATAAATCTAAAACAATTAATGATGGGTAAATTATATATTTGATACACAAATTAATTACTTCATAGTTGTCTTCTTAATTTACGTGTAAAGTATAAAGTAACCTATATTTTGAAATAGAGGGAGTATAAGTTTTTTCCTACAAACTTTAATAGACCTCAAGCCCCCCAATGCTGAAAGCTAGTTCCGACACTGACCTCAGCTTTAAATTGGTATCAATTGTAGATGAACTAATGAAAATCCAGCTTTTCCTAATTTCGCACTTAAAACTATCTAAAAGACTAGCATGGCAGTGATCCTGATTTTCTACTTTGAAAATTGTCATCTCAGCATTTCCTCTTTTTTCTTTTTTTTTATTATGTATCGTGCTACTTTGTCAGTAGATCTTTACACATTGCCACGTTTTATTTCTTTGTTATTATGCATTTTATTTTATGCATCAGCAATTAATTTAAACAAAAAAGAATGAGATTAAAAACAAACTCTTTTGTATTTACAATAGTACTCAAAAAATTTTGACACCCGCTAGGAATTTTATTAGGATGCCCTTTAGACGAAAAAAGCTAAGCATATGTCAAAACTGCGAATGATTTGTAATATGTAGATAAAGTTGACTTAGGAGACTCCATTTATTTTGTTGATCATAACTCTTTATATTTTCTTTAGTTTAAAAAAATAAATCACATATCGTTGCTCAATTTGTTTGCTATGCAATAACTTTGTGATCTCAAACTATTATACATCAGGGGAAGGGTGGAATTAATTATTATTATTGTTAGTATTATTACTATTATTTGGACCAGTTGATCCGAGTCTCTTCTAATGGCATTTTTGAAGGCGTTATATAAAGTGTGACTGATACACATGAGCATCAGTGTTATGAATATATTGCGCCTGTCCCTGAAAAATATTTCACGTTACTATTTGTGAATTGTATTATTTTTAGTACAGTTTAAAAATAAATTAACTTATAATGTAAATTGTTTTAGGGACAGAGAGAGTGCAATATTTATCAAATTATATCATTCATAAGGTATGGTGTAATTAGACTAATCATTCAGGATCAGATGGAAAACATTATGAAAGCCACAGAGTTTGGTTCATGGATATTAGAACGATTGAGTTTTTTTTTTTTTTTTTTGTTGGTATGATCTAATACTTTAATCTGTCACATACTAATTATATTGCTAACTGCTAAGAATTTGCCATATTGTTGTCTACGGATGATCTCTTGACAGAATTTGATAAAGTGCATTGAAAATTTTACATCTCGGTAATGCTTTCTCAAACATCTCTTCATTTTTTTCGAATCACTTGCATTGTATATATAGACTATTTTTTTCTTTTTTGTGAAGGAAAAACTCTCACAATTTAGATTTTCTTTCTCTTTTTTGGTACCTTTCGCCATAATAATCATTTAAATAGGCCGGGATTGGCCTTATTCTAGCTCTTTTTTTTTCTTTTTTTTTTTTGGGGCGGGGGGGGGGGGAAATGGTGGAGAATCCAATTTAAAGTTACACACACCAAATACCAGCTAGCATATACATATTTGTTTTACCGGGCAGGTAGATTTGGTGACCAAACAGCTAACGAAGTTTCTGTCAGTAGGTATGAGTTTGGTGACGAAGACTTGGTGACCGAGTAGTGACCACATAAGTGCCTAAATCCACTCATTCGAATTTGTCTATAGGATAATTAACCAAGAAAAAAATAAAAATTGTCTAGGACGGATTTCTTCATCAGCAAATAAAAATTAGACCAAGTTCAATCGGGAAAAAAATTAGGAATCAGGTGGCTTCTTTATCATTCTTGAATTATGATAATGTCGATAATTCTCATACTCTAATTAATAAAAAACGATTTTTTTTTAAGTAAACTACATCATATACCATGCTTGATTTCCTAAGTTCAATTACCTAATACATTTGGAATTGATTCCCCCCATAATGATGTGTTCTTGAGTGATGATTTAAACGATGGCTTAACAATGGTCAATTTTTTTGGTTGAAAATCTGAATTTTTAATACGTGAAAATATTTCGGAAGTAAATTTTAAATTCATTAATTACCACGTACGTTCGTTCCTTATAGTTCAGTAGTAGAAGGAGAAAACACACCAAAATAAAGATAGCTTATCTCGATGATGATGTGAGAAGAGTTGAGAACTAAGTGGCGCAAGTTTTGATCTTTCTCTTAAAAATTGATCCTTTCCATCATTTTCTGGGCTATCAATCTCTTTAGTTTTTGTATCAAGAATGATTTAGCGATTCTAGTTCTACCTTCAGGTAATTGTTGTAGAAGTTCGTTATTTTATACTAATGATGATTTGTAATTACATAATGATATGAATGAACTTGTAATATTGTGTAATGATGGATATAAAACGTCTTTCGATTCACTTAGTAAGAAATGCAAATCATCCATTTAAAAAATAATACAAAAATGTGAAGGGCTGCACCGTCTCCTCGTTCACTAGGAAATCCTCAAGGCCGTTTCTCTTAGTATGATTCTATGAGGTTCCTCGGGAATAGTTGTTAGAAAGAGTTTAAGAAGAGTAATTCAATGAACTCTTTTGTTTAGTTAGGAGCGTTCGAAATATCTTATTATATTAGAAACAAAAATCACACTTAAGAAAAAACACTACTATTTGCTATGTGGTATTTTCACATCATATTTTAAAAATAAATTTTTATTTACACATCTCATAGACTCAAAAGGCAAATACAATCCAAATTCACCTCCACCTCCTATTTTCGCCAAAAAAAAACCACGGGTTCATAAAAAACCCAAATCCTCATCCCCATCTCTACGACAATTGACTCCCTAATCAATCCCTTCTCTACAATTAAAAAAAAAAATTTCTCATTAATCATCAATTGAGAATATGTGGTGAAATATACTCATTTCCTATTAACATGTTCAATCTTTTCATTAGTGATGATCAACTACATCCTAATCGAAAAAAAATTTCGACTCCAAAAAATATTCTTTTTACCTCTCTATATAAACACAAAGGAAAAAAAAAAATTTCATTCATCTTGCTTCGGCCGTTGTGGTGGTGCAATACATGTATTAAAATTTAAATGATTTTATTTTCACAGATCATTTGTTTGACTTTTATTATTTTATTTTTCCCCTTCAAGAATAGTATTATTACTCTCATTTTTATGCATCCATCCTTTACAGTTACATAGTCGTGTTAGATAATATGATGTGATTTCTTATAAGGTTAGTTAACCTTGAATTTTTGTATGATTTTAGTTCTGTTTGGATTGAATTAATTAATTGGATTTTTTTACAAATTGTGATTTTTAAAATTTTTTTTTTATGTTTCATTCAATTAGAGTGGTTTTCTTTTTCTAATTGTGGAGTCTCAGTTTTTTCTTTTGTATATGGTCAGTTATGAAGTGTATTTTTTCTTTGTTTAATTACTTTTGATTTTGTTTCATATTCCCAATTGACCAATTATTATTATTATTATTTTATTTTATTCGCAAATAAAGCGCTTTTTTTTAGTGTTCGGGCTTTCAAGAATATACTTTTTTGGATTTGGTTTTTGGACTTTTTTTAGTTCTTCATCATATAAATAGTTCAAGTCGTTTCTTCTAACTAATTTATGGGGAAACCTTTTATGAATTTGAGGTGGAGATCGAAGGAATGATGTTTCTACGTTTATTTGTGTTTTTATACCTCATTTTTACCTACAGAAAAAAAATAAAATTCTCAAATTTTAATGGGCTATCTTTTACTTTATTTTTATTTTTATTTTATTTTCCATGGTAAGGTGAGTTCTTTTTTGCTATAACTTGAAACCTATGCAAATTTACATTATTTTCATTCTCATATTTGTGATCAACTAGTTTCAACAATTAACCAGTTTTAAAATCATATTTTTGATATTTTACTACCTATAAACTTTTGGAAGAAATAGTTCCAACAATTAAGCGTATACCCTTTGGAGGAAGTTTACTACAAAGCTATATAAATCTCCAAAACTACGTATTGATTTGGCACAATCAATGGAGAACATCAATAAATTATCTTACTAATATTTAAACTTATTAGGATGCTTTTTATATTTTGTCTAGCATTTACTTCAAGATATATATTTGATCAAGTTTATTTATAATTAGAGTGAACATCAAAACAAGTCATCAACCTTTAATATATTTCCACTCTAGGTCATCAATTAAATTTATTTGTAACACAGGTTATCTTACTAAAGTTTTAATCCATTTCAGATTATTCTGTTAATTTTGGCCGTTAAATAGTGACAGAAATCTATTTTTCACATGCTTTTGGGTTCAGGGGTATTTTTATCATTTTATTATTTTTTTAGTTTTTGATCTTTTAAATTTTTGTTTTTACAATTCTTCTTCTAATAATTCCTAACTTGTATACACTGGTAGTATAATTCTAAATTTTAAAAATTTATTTTCCTTTTATATTTTAACTTCTAGATTATAAATTTTTTTTTAAAAAAAATTAAGAAATGAAGAAGAAAAATTCGAGTTAAAGTAAAACATGAAAATTAATAATTTACCATTTTAAACAAAAAGAAAAACTAACAGAATTAGCTAAGACAAGTTGTTTCTTCTAGGTTATTTAATTTTTTTTCACTCGATTGAATTATTTAATTATTAATTTTCACGTTTCTTATTCTTTTTTTTTTTTATAATCTAGAAGTTAAGATACAAATGACAAACAAATTCATTTTTGAAAATTAATTTGTCATTTGTATATTGTGGAATTTGCTTTGCAATATGAAAAACTAAGGCTATGTTTGGAAGATTTTTTTAGTGTATTTTTTTGTATTGGAAATGTAAAAAAATGTATTGAAAATGTAAAAGGGTGCATTGAGAATGTAAAAAAGTACGATAGGATGAGATTAGATATAATTAAAAATTCTGAAAAAATGAGTGAAAAAAGGAGCCAAACATAGCCTAGGTTCTGTTTGCAAACTTGAAGTGAGGATAATAAAACGTCAGTCAAAGGTCAATGTTACAAATCCAAGACTCAACATAGTCCACCGGCCGACGAATGAAACGCGCGCGTCGCAACAACCGTCACGCATAGTCGAGAAGCTCCCGCCGGTGACCATCGGCAACAGCTCTTCCACCACCTCCCCTGCTTCCTCTTTTCAGGGTAATAATTTCTCTTCATTTCAACTCGTCCGTCTATTTCGTCACTGTATACTTCTTTCTTTTATTCTTTAATCTTTGAATTTGACTGAATTCCAAAAATTCTGATGTTTTTTTTTTCTGTTGCCTAGATGACTTCTGTTTAGATTACCGTTTGGTGTGAAATCATTTGTATTTTGTTTATGTATAGAACTAAGTTTTGAATGTGTTGCTTTTTGGCTTTTGTTTTGATTTTGGCTTTGGGGAAAAAAAGGCGCAAAGTCCCATAGCTATTTTCCGTCTTTGATTCTTTCTCGGAAGTGTAGAAGGAAATCGTTTTGAATATTTAGAATTCATTTAGTTACTGTGAACATTTTATGTACATGAAATGTAATTTTTTGTTTTTGCGAAAATGGGAGCTAAGAGCTGACATTATAGGCCCTAAAAATTGTAAAGCTGATCCCGGATGAACTTTTAATCGTAATGATCTCAAATTTACATATTATTACATTCTCTTTTCTTTATTCTGTCTGAGGATGACACCAATGAATTTATATCAGTACTGATTACTTGCATAACCTTTCTTTGTTCATTTCTTCGCACAATCACATACTACTTCGAAGGTTTACTTTTCCTTCCTTTTTTTTTTTTTTTTTTGGTTTGAAGTTCCTTGCATGTTATGTAGTGCAACATGAGGCTCAATAAGGTTTGTTTAGCGGATAGTCATTCAACTGAAATACTCTAATCCGTAATTCAACTTTTCATAACTGTTCATGCTGAGTCAGAATGGCATCCTACTGGATCTACATCAGTATTGATAACTTGCGTAACCTTTATTGCTCATATAATCGCGCTCACATCTTATTTTGAAGTTCTTTGCATTTTTCGATGGTTTGAAGTTCCTAGCTTCTGTTTGGCAGATAAGTACATATGCTGAAATGCTCTAACCTACTCCCTGGAAAGCATTTTTGCTCCTGACCCTGCGGTTCACAAAAACATGAAGCGGAAACGTAGTTTTGCTAAGCCCAAGCCACCTAAGAAACCACAGGTTGCTGCTGCTGAATGTGCCACGTATGCTTTTCTGAATGATAAAGGCCACTCTCACTGGGATGGGAATAATGGAGTTGACTTCATTGCGGAGACCGAAACAGCACATGCTGCCACCAATACAAATCCTCACAGTGCAAGGCAAGAAGACGAAGGCTTTCTTGCGAACATGGAATCTGGCGATTCAATCCCCAACAGTAACATATTGAAGAATTTTGCTAACTTTGCTGCTAAAGTGTCGGGAGCTGTTAATTCATCGAATGTTGAGCCCAACAATAAATCATTAGCTGTGCATGGTGACGAAGTGCTTGGAAGGGAATCTAGAGTATCTCATTTAGATCCTCTAAACAATGAGGAAGAGTTGAAGTCTGCTCTCTCGGTATGGTGTCTATGTGCTATTTGGTTGTACCTCCAGATTCCTATGTCGGTAATCTGTCAAAATTTGTGTATATTTTGAAACCTGTACCTTTTCTTCATTTGCAGGTGATTAAGACTGTTATGAAAATGAATGCTGCTCAGCCCTTTAATATTCCTGTGGACCCTACGGCACTTGGAATTCCTGTATGTCCTTTGCCATATTGAGTTATTGCTTGCGAGTTGCAACTGTATCTCCTTTCAGTATTTTCCCTTACTGATAATTTCTGTCATTGTAAACAAAGCGTGCGAGCTTCTGAATATGTATAATTTTAGTGCAATCATCTTTTGGTTTATATGATCTTTGACATTGTGACGACCAGGATTTCTTTGCTTGTGATGGCTAAGTGTCTTGGTCATTGTGGCTTCTTTTTAGTTCTAAATTTGCTTTACGTAGAACTTTGGTTGTAGTGTCCTTATTTTTTGTTTTCCTTTTACTTTTCTTTTGTTTATAATTCTTATTTTGTTTGGACTTTGGCTGCAGTTATTGTGATATATCTCTGAGATTTCTAGTGCTATCTTTGTTTTTTTTTTCTTTTTTTTTTTGGGGTAAGTATTTAAATCTAGTAGGACTTCATAGGTGGAGAATTCATTTTTGGAATATCTTTCCTCGCATGTTCTTTGTTTCTTTTCTGTTTCTAAATTTTTGGTTATGTTGGCACAGGACTATTTTGACATTATTGATACTCCTATGGACTTTGGCACTATATGCAACAACCTAGAATGGGGTGGAAAGTACAAAAATTCAAAGGATGTATTCAATGATGTGCAGTTAATATGGGATAATTGTTCCAAGTACAATAAGAAAGGTAGTTACATATTGGATCTCATGAGGCGGGTGAGGATTAACTTTATGAAGCACTGGAATGCAGCTGGATTATTTAGGGAGGGAGAAGAAGTTGATTATGGTATGGATACTAAACTCTGCCCATAAATTACTAATTTGGTACACAAAACTGATGCTTGTAAGAACATTATATATGCCCTAAGAAGACCTTACGGCAATTTCAAAGTGAGATCCTAGAGTGGGATTTTTCAGTTTTCCGAAATACTGTTCTGTTGTGATGATATCTGCCTCTTCGGATGACATTTGGTTTTCATTGAATTACACACTCATTTTGGTTGAATATGTTTGGTTACATTTTTTATTTTATTTTATTTTATATGATTATTATTATTATTATTATTATTATTTTGCATACTTCCGGCAATAAGTGTTTGCAATTCTTCGTTTTTTGTTTCTACTGCAAAATGTGTTCGAAGCTATGGTTTAAAATTTCTATCCTTCTTCAAGCGGGGAAGGAAAGGGTAAAAGGAGGGGTCCAAGGACTTCCATATTTGATATACTCTTTTGCAGCCTTGTTAATTCAAAAGCTTATATCTTGGACTGATTAGTACATCATTTCATTATGAAATACATTAGGAACTCATCATCAAGATGCTGCTGCACGTTCCGCAAGCAAAAACAATGATCGAAATGTGTTTCGCTCGAGGTCTAAAATCAGCAATTCCGTCCACCAAGAACGGCGGGACATAGCTAGTCTTCACCAGATTCAGAAACAACAATGTTCACCTTGCATCAGCCTCACGCAATCCCAAAATTTACCCTCTCAGTTCCAAGGTGGAAGGCAACTTTCAGACTTTCAGTCTTCGCATTCCCAGCGCAGTGGATATCATGCTATGACTGGTAAGCTTGCTGTGTTTTAATTGAGGGTACTGATACCAGTAACGTTGCTTATTTTAGGACTCCATTAGAGTCTTTCACACCTGCCCCCCACTTTCTTTCTTTCTTTTTTTTTTGTTTTTTTTCCCCTTTACGAAATGCTCCCCATCTTGACCCCCCAGACCCCAACCAAGTCGGGAATATATTGGGTATGTTGTTGTTGTTGTATCACAACCAGAACGTTATTTTGTTATTTTTCAAGGGAAAAATTATTTTGAGATTCTAGTACTCCAAGTGTTTGTTATTTTGTTATTATAGCCTGTATGGCCATCGACCAATTCACTTTTCTAAAATTTTAGCCAGGCTTCTCTTCTATAAGTTTAGTTTGGTTTCCTTGTAGTTCAATTTGGTTTATTTTCCTTGTTTTTCAATCCAATAGGACCTGCGATGTGTTAAATTTCCTTTTATCAACAGGTACATTTCTCCTTTTGCAGTTTCCTGGATTTTGAATTTTAACAGTTGGCAATGGTAAAACCACCTCCATGGCATCATTTAATGCTATTCCAGTACTAAGTAGATGACTTGTCTTGGAGCCATGAAATGCATCCCTCTTCCGTTCCTTCTTGTTATTTCTAATGCTATTCCAGTACTAAGTAGATGACTTGTCTTGGAGTCATGAAATGCATCCCTCTTCCGTTCCTTCTTGTTATTTCTGTTGACATTGCTAATCACTGTGCATTAATATGCAAAAAAATTCAGACTGTACGAAGGGACACTATGTACATGTGCATAAGCATCAAGGAGGTCAAAGTGGAACGAACAATAGTGGACTGCAGGATCAGATTATGCCTCATAAGGAAATCTATCATCAGCCCTCACCCAGCTGTGGTTCTAAACACCATCCAAATGAGAGACCATTCATGGGTCAATCACACTCTAGCCATCATCATTCAATCAAACCTACTGCCCCAAACTCTGAGAGTGAAGGTAGGTCTAATAGTTTCTCTATTAATTTGTATGCTACAAATATAAAGTTTTTGAGAGGTTCCCTGATCATGTGCTTTGTGCTATTTGAATTAGGATGCTTTAGACTGTTTATGGCATTTTCAGTTATTTTTATACATATACAAAAAAGAAATTCATATATTGTTTTATGACCTGATTCTTATTGGTGAGAATCAACCTTTGCCATTGGGTGCTAGGTTTCCATGCGGTTTTAGTTTTAGTTCAGAAGAAATAAACTAATCTGAAAGAAGACAAAATCTTTGAAGCCCATGTTCAGTACCTAGATTATTAAGTTTGAACGAAATCCTACTTTTTCTTTTATCTGCTATGCACGACAGCTATATCTAGACCACTGAAGGCCAAACACATAAAGGAGGGATTGCAAACATTCCTGTGTACCTTCTATCTTTTCATGTTTTTTTATAAAGTCTGATGCTATGTGTGGTTCTGCTGACAACAAGAAAAGAAGTCTGTCCTGCTGAAGTTTTTTCTTTACCGTTATTTAGACTTCAAACTAAAGAGTATATGTGAAATGACTCCATGATGTAGAACCAGAGCATAACTGGTAAAACGTTACATAGTTGTTTGTACGAAAGGAAAATCAATTTCTATCCCTACTGCAAGATATGTCTTCCAATGCTGTTTCTGCTACTATTTACCATGCTTACTTTCATTTTTTAATTTGGTTCCTTACTACTTGCTTGCACTGCAAGACTTCTAATGAAGTCAAATGGATTAAGACTTCTTGTCAAGACTGTGATCCACTAATTCTGGTTGTGTCTTAGTTAAGTGATTCTCTTGCATTGTTGTATGTCAAGGTCATTTTCATTTACCCTTTCACGGAGCCTCATCATCCCCAGCATGCAAAACATGTGAGCATGCTTGTACTTTGGTTCCAAGGAACAGTAACGCGAGCAACCACAAGCACCACGAGACATGCTCTTGCCACTATCATGAGCTTCAACCTTTGCCAAGATGTGGTGATCAATATCAGCAACACTACAGACCTTGTCACCCCAATTTAAATTCAAGGGATATGCTGACTACTGACCTTTATGCCAGAGACAATGTCGAAGAAGGTATTCCAGATCTCTCATGAGATGGATCATTTGTGGGTCTGTTTACTTCGATGTTTTTATTTGTCACTGATGTTTGCTCGCTCTAGGCAGCAGTGATTTGCCTGCACTTTGAAGATACATGTCATATACAGTCTGTCCCAAAATGTTTGTCCAGTTTGGATTTTCATATTTAGTACAATTACAAACTGGACAATCATTTTGGAACAAAGGGAGTACAAGTTTTGGGGTTGATTATGTGTCCCTTTAAATATCATTGTCACACGTCACTATTGGGTTATGAAATGTAAATATTTCAGTACTGGGAAGAACTAACTTTTTCTTATTTGACTTACTTCTGTGTGTTCCGCTGAGTGGTTGTCAACTTATCGTCTTTGTTAAAAAGCGTTTTTTTCTCCCTTATCCACTAAATAGAGAGAACTTTTTTTGTGGCATTGATCCAAAAGCTATGCATTAGTAGTGTGGTTGTTATTTGTTAATTCTTGTCAACAAAGTTCTCACATTGTGAGAAATCTAATTCTGCAATAGTGTTTTTTGTGTTATTGTTGCAGTCAATTGAAGTTCTTAAGTATATTTGTGTATGAAATCCTGTTGTAGTATGTATACAGCCGTTAATTTCTTCTTCTACATAAAGTAAATCCCCATTGGGACTCTTCTGCAGAACCTAATACGACCAGAGGTGGGTTTGGGTATTTAACTGCCTCTGCTAGGAGTTGCAGAAGTCACCAACAGCAACGTTTGAGTGGCTGCAGTGAACTTCCAGAATCCTCAATGTTCCACAAAAACTCATATCGATGGAGTTCTCAAGCTCAGTTAGATGTAGGTTCCCCAGAAACTCACCAGCCACAGGACTTGGCGAATACTGGTCATGCAGGTATGCATTTTCCGCATGGACCCTTTTTCAACTTATGATACCATAGTTATGAAAGTTTGTATTGTGTATCGACGAAATTGCTCATTCTCTTGCATTCTGATGCTTTTTGGCTGCTGTTGGTTTTTACTCTTGATTGACCAGTTGTCTTAAACCTTGTATTGTGAAATGTCTTGTTGTACGTGATCTATGTAGTTGTCAGTGCTTTGTCAGTTTTCTCTTAAAGTTCATGCTGATAGTAATGTAATCTTTTCAGAAGATTATTCCCACGTGCCAGTGCCTGCAGAATCTACTGTTAGACATGCAAGTTGTCAGAACTCAGGTTCACCAGTTACTGGGGACAGCAGCAATCATGAGGTGTGTGATATGGGTCCAAGCGGATCGCAGTCCCCCTCATTGGAATTGTCAAATAAGCCTAAGGAAAATGACAAGCCAGATCATGCAAGCCCAAGCACACCAGCGCCTTCCGGGCCACAGGGTGATACAAATATTACAGGTCAGGATATTAACATGTTTGACTTGCAACCATTGAGAACTGTGTCTTTCAAGCTACTATATCTTGTTTAGTTGACTTACTGGTTCTTTTGAAATAGACTCTACCAAAGTGGTGAAGAAGAATCAAGTCCGTGGACCCACAAGGTGCCTCAAATTCTTGAATGCAGGAAAACCAATATCCATTACCACTAATGAGCTGGGACAGCCTGTCGGTCCCAATGCACCAAAGCTGATCAGCTTCCTTGGTACTCTTGCAAGGAATGGGCATATGGCACCCCTTACATGTGTTAACTGGAAAGCTATTCCTGAGGAAAACAAGGAGAACATGTGGCAAGAAGTTCAGGTAGGCAATAACTGCCTAAGTAACATCATTGCACCAGAAATTAAGCTAGCAAAATAGCTAACTTTCTTTTACATAAAAAACCACCAAACTACATCTGCGAAGCTTTTCTTACTTTATCTTCTTTCTGAATTATCCAATCCCTTGTGCACTTTTGGGCTTTAATTGTGTGATTCATTGTGTGATTCACACAAACATTGTGTGCACTTTTACATCATCTGATATTTGTTAATTGTGTGATTCATATGATACAGAAAACATTTGAAATTGATCCAACTAGCAAGCATTGGGTTATCAAAAATCTTAGCATTAAGTGGAAAAGTTGGAAGTCTATCTTAAAGACTAAACATTACATCACTCATGCAACTGATGAAGAGAGGCTAGCTGACCGTGATGAAAGAGTCCTTCCAGATCAATGGGCATACCTTGTTTCCTATTGGAGTTCTGAGGAGGCAGAGGTATTTTCTTGTTTATCCAAATAATTTCATATGTTTCCAAAAAAAATAAAAAATAACAAATATAATAAAATTCATACAAAAACAATTAAATGCAAATTCTGTAATTGGCTATATTTCAAGTACATGATTGGTGATTTTGGAATCTCTCCCATGCTAAAGAAACGCAGTGCTAGAAACAAGGCTAATCGTGCAAAAGTGAAGTTTGGGCACGCTACAGGAACAAAGAGCTTCGCAAGGATACGTGAAGAGCAGGTAGCATTTCCTCTTGATACATATACTGGATGAGGTTGTTGGTTCGTTCCTCTTTTAATTCCTTACTGTCATCAACTACTGTTTAAAAAATATATGCTGATCAGCTGTTGTATCTCACATAGCGAGCTAAACGACCAGATGGAAAGGCTCCATCTCCAGGAGAACTATTCATCTTGACTCGCACACGCAAGGATGGAAAGCCTGTGAATGAAGCAACCTCTGCAGTGATTGTATGGATACACACAAATCACCATTTGTTTAAAATTTCCCCAAAATGCTTCAATTGATATGTAGCAGGATATACTTCAATTGTTTTTACACTCGATTCACTTTGCAGACACAGCTTCGTGGAATCACTAATCAACAGGCTGACGCCGACCAAACTACCGGCCCTGAAGATGATGCGTTCTCTAAAATCATTGGTCGGGATCCTCATGGCCGAGTTCGTTGTAAGGAACTGGCTCCAACTTCCTGTGAATTTGGTCGAGGAGCTCCTTCCAAAGCTGCTGCCATGAAAATGGTGACCGAGGCAAATTCTGAGGTACGTGAAATGAAAGAACGGTTAGTGTCAATGGAGCAGACTTGTGCGCAGATGGCACAACAGATGGCCACGATGATGTCAATGATGGCATCCATGCAAAAAGACACTAATGTGCCCCCTCAAGTAGGCTCACTAACCATGTTCTTTTAATTGTGGTTTTCAAAATTATACGTTCATGAGCTACAGCCAGTTATCATATCCAAAAATAGTAGATTCAAAGTCTTTTAGCTAGCATTGAACTCTTCATAATGCTTTTATCCTAACAGGTTAATGCTGGTTGTGCGACTGAGGAAGGTTCACCAGAGAAACCAAGGCAGTCTACATCACTGAGGCGCTCAAGTAGGAAACGCAACATTTAGATCGGCAATGCCCAAGGATTCAGTCTGATTCACGTTCTCGTAGGAAAAAATTTCTTATTGCAATGCAGGATATTTTGCGGCGCACCACCCTTCCGAGCGTACCATTTCTGGAACTTGATTGCTCCGAAGCACCACTAGTTTGACAGTTTGGGGAATAGAATACCAATCCTAGTACTCTTTTAAAACTGTTGCCGTTCTTTATTTAATTTGTAGACCCAATCCTGTATCATTTTGTCAAGTCACGGTAATAACCCAAACTGTAACGGTTTAAGAATACCTTGAAATTCAGTGCGTTCTAACATGCGCGATTAGGTACTGCGTTCTTTGTTGTAATCCAAGTTCAGACTGAACAAATCTCAGGGAGCTGGGTTTTTGCTGTTTAATTACAAGTGTAAATCGATCACGAGCTTCGATGCCAACAGGCAGCCTCATCGGCCGTTGCAGTTGAAGAATCTTCTTTTCTAATAGAAAATGGCAACCGTTTCTCCAATAAAAAGTGGGCTGTTATAATGTTTGGGACTATTTTTCTCTAAATGTTAATGTTTGGGGCCAAAATTTGAATGAGACTAAATTTACGGGACCATTAAAAATTTTTAAAAATTTGAAATACCAAAAATACCCCTGTCCTACCGGGGCCAATAGTCAACATAACGGAAAAGTTGACGGAACAATGAATTAGGACAAAAAAGTTACAATTTATAATGTTTGAGACGAAAAATGTATAATGGACTAAATGTATGGACCAATCCAAGGTTTACTCAATTTACCGTTGTCATAAAATTATAACACACAACTTTTTTTGTTTTCTCCTCTCTAAATTCTCCCAAACTTCAAAACAAAAATAAATAAAATAATCTCAATGGGGTAGCCGCATCGATAACGAATTGGAAGGGTGTTGGTCGAGGCAAAGGTGCATTGGTAAATAAATTAAAGATTTATATTTGTTAAAAGTTTTTTTTTCAAATTTATCAAAAAGAAAAAAAAAGGAAAAAAAAAAAAGGAGTTAGAACGGCCAATGCCGCCCAAATACACTGGGGATAATCTTTTAAGTTTCAATTTGGCCAAGTTTTTTTGTTTAATTTGTTTAATTTCCTTAATTTGTTTAACTAAGAGGAAGGTTTTTTTTTGTTTAATTTGTTTAACTAAGAGGAAGGCTTTGCACTGGTCGCCAATATCTGATTTCAAAAAGAAAAAAATCAAAAGGATTATGTTCGGTGGGTGCCCGGCGTTCTTGCCCACCGGCGGTCGAAGTGTCCACCAGAGACGCTTCGCCGGAAGTTAAACCGTCTAGGGAGGACGCTTAATCGGCGATGGAAATGTCGGCGTGGACGCTGTTACCGCCGGTGGGGTGTGATCTTTGGCGCCTGACCGGCCAGACCCCCTTTTTTTTTCAAAAAAATTCAGATTAAAAAAAGTTAAAAAAGATGAGATATGTTACTTCATTTTCCCGTAGATCTTCGTCTCCACCAAACCTATTTCATTCTTCATTGTCGTAGTCTCCATATTCAAGAATTGTTTTTATTTTTTGTTTTGAGTTTGAGAGAATTTGGAGAAATGGAAGAAAATGATTTGTGAATTTCAAATTATAAAAGAATAAATATGTCAAAAAAGAGTACTACCTGGATTTAGGGGACTACAAATAGCATAACCCCGAATTGCTCACGATCTCTTCTGCATTATAAACAGCATGGCTCATATCTAAGGCTAAAATGGATTAACACATTTTTATATACGAAGTACACTCCTTTCCGTTTAGCGTGCTCTTACTTCTTTTTTCTTTTTCCCAATTATGAATCAGATTCTGACATCAGTAGCTCAAACTGTGGGAGAAAAAGACATCAGATTGGAATAAGGCTTTTTCTTTCCATTTTTTTTTTTTTGGTGTCATCATATACATTTGTCTTTTTATTCCAATACACCATTCATCTTTGATTATAACTAGTTTCTTACGTATTAATACAGGAGCAAAACTGCGCACATCGATTTATACTCCACCGACATTGAAGATATAATCTGTTTTTCATTGTTGATGGTAAACTTTTTTTCTGTTAATTTGAATGCAAAATTTCATACAAGTATTTCGTAAAAGAAAAACAATGAATATATTGAACCCTTTGCATCTCTCGATGAACCAAATGAATTACCATTGCGAAATGCATAAGTTCAAAATTGAGTTTCAATTAAAGTAGTACAGTAGCCAGGGTGAGTAGGATGAAGAATGAAAGATTTTATCCTCCCCATCCCCCCTCCTTTTCTGGATAATTAATTATCCTAGTATGAAATGGCTATGTATATTGTGACAATTCTAGAATAGAAGCATATTGAAAATTCGCAACAAACTTCCATCACCTTAGAGTCAAAAGAATAAACTAAACTTTATACAAAACAGCATCATCAGTTGATAATGCACTAAGTTTGCAGATTACATTTAGTGTTAATAAAAACAAATTCAACAATGTACTACTCTGCTGATTCAAAATATTAGTTCATCTGAGCATTGGGAACGCTGCTAGAATTCCTCCAGGTTGCAATTTGGCTTTGATCAAAGGGGATTATCACAACTGTTTTGGGCAATCAACAGGCTGCTGCAGGCCAATTATCAAGGGTATTCAGGAGCGAGTCCATGTCTTGGTTCCCTTGTTTCAACAATTCCTCCAATTCCAACCAGTCTTCCTGTTCCTGATATATCGAATAGTTTTCCAACTCAGTTTCTGAATCTTCAAGACCCGGAATTGTCTCCTGCAATGCTTCCTGATCATAAGAAGTGCTGGAGTCCAGTAGAAATCCATTACTGCTGTTGCCTTGGAGGTTATTGTAATTCATACTCTGTTTCTCATCCTCACTATAACTTGATATCTTTGATGATGACGAAGATGGCGATGACTTTATCACCTTCTTTCTTGAGTTTGTTGCAGTCTCAAAAATCTTCCTCTTTCTGGAAACCAGCTTTCCACCGAAAGAACTCTTGCTGTCATCTCTCTTGATCTTACACAAGACATAATCGTCGCAATTGAATTTCGTGAGCCCAAAAGCTTTTGGATTGAGACTGTACTCTGTCATATTCCATTGTCCTACCGTTTCTTCAGTCGCTGATCTGAATGTGAAGTTTCTCTTGTATCCGATCAATGTGGATTCTCCATTATCATCAATCCCGGTGATGGGCTGTTTTGTGTTGTTAGCGTGCCAGGTTCCGCATCCGGCAACTCTACACTTGTGCTTGTTCTCCGATTTGTCGGTCTTGCCTACGCTTTTCAGTTTGGTTGAAACGTAAAGGATTTCTTCTGAATGCTTGTCTTTGTTTGAGATGTCCACCGACTGAAGCCATGGGATAAACTGGTCGGAACCGGAACAGAACAATTCCCAGGGAGTGGCCTTTTTGCCGTACATGTTGATATCAATCAAGAATTGGGTTTCAAAATCTGATAATGGATGACCCATAATCTTGTTCTTGAGGTAATAGCTCAGGAGTTCCTCTTCCGTGGGATTGAATCTCACCCCCACCGGAAAACCCATTCTCGGAGGAGGAGGCGGCGGCGTTATTGTTTCGGACTCTGTGTCTTTCGGTTTATATCAAGCCGGAAGCACTGTTTCGAGAAATCAGCACAAACAATTGTAAATTGCTTACGCTGGAAATTGGAAATTAGGGTTCAGTATGAAAGTTTCCTAAACCTTACAAATCCGACGATCAAGCACTAAAGCAGCAGCGGAGGTTTCCGATGAAGAAACTACAGAGGCAGAAATTAGGAAAACATAGACGATTTCTCTCTCTGGAATCAGATCTCGGATTGCTCTCTCTGGAACTGATTTCTGAGAATTGGGAAGTAGGGTAATTTCTATTTATAGATTGATAAAAGTTTCCTAAACTTCACAAATCCAATTCGGAATCGAATTAGGAAGGATTTGCCCTAGTTTTGTTTTAGGAAATTTCGCCGGGCTTCTGGGCTTGGGGGAGTTGAACGGCTACTCCTGAATGTCCAGTGCTTTTTACAGTTTTTTTTCTTAAAAAAAAAAAAAAAACAAAATCACCGTAAAAGTTATGATACTGGTTGCCAAATGTAAAATTAATTAAATTAGTACGTATCCATATAATATATTCTTCATCTTCATATAATAATTCCTCATTTTTTATTCTTAAATTAACCAAGTCTTTACCACGTTAAATAATCCTTCCGTCCCCAGAAGATAATTGCCTTTGATTTTTCATTTCTATGGTAGAAATTTGCAAGGTTTTAGTAATATAGTTTTTTTTTTTCCATCCTAAAATAATTGTTTATTTTGAATTTAATCCCAAATATAGATTGTGCTAAAAATGAATTAAACAGAACAATAATTTTGAGACAATAGGAGAGTGTAAAAACATTTGCATGATTGAAATGAAGTATCTTGTGTGAAAAAACAATAAGGATTGCTGTTTCTATCCCAAAAAATAATAAATATTAAATATTAAATTTTGAGCTTTGTACTAAATTTTTTTAGACAGAGTGTCTAATTAAAAAGTACATTCCACAAAATTAATTTAACATAGTGATGTGCTAACTTTGAGCAAATTCTTAAAATTTAATATCAACCAATATTGCAATGGTTTTATAGTACTCTCTTTGATCTTTATTATAAGCATTTTGATTTATCATAAGTTTTACCTAATGTGTTTTTCGATTGAAAAAAAAAAACCTTAAAACAACATGTTTATATCCATTGTATTTTTCTAATTATTAGGAAATATTTTTAAGACTTTTCCCTCAATTGGAAAAATATATACTAAATAAAACCTACGACAAATTAAAATAGCTTATAATAAAGAGCAGGGTGAGTATATACTATAGTTTTTTTTTTTTTAATAAATTCCACCTCATTGGACTACACTTAAATGTGGGTAAAACCACCCTTACAACCCAAACCAGGGCCTAGTTGACATGCCATAAGTACAACAAAGAATTTTTTCGAATGTTATACAAGTAAGACACTTATTTCTTCTTAACTATCTGAGACACTAAAATTTTTTTCCGAAACTACTAATATTTTCTTTTTCTAAATAATACGCTGCCTTATATTACAGCGTAAACTAAACTATTATAGTATTCATAGAAATAATCTTCTAACTCTCTGTTGCACTTGACAAAGTCTACCATTCTTCCTCATCAAACTTCCTTCACAACCACCATCATTGCTGTCACTCGAATTATCTAATGGGGGTCAGCACATGCATATTCAAATACTTACATAAACATGAAAATATTTCACAGAAATACGATCATTTCAAATAAACATTTTATACTTTTCTTCATTTCAAAAATTGAGACATAGCTATATACATTATTGAGGTACCCTGTGCACAATTCCGGATTTAAGCCCTCCGAAAATTGGGACACTTCAACATTAAGGCCATCCAGCCCATCAGTTACTTTGGGGTTTGGACTTTCCAGCTTTTCATTTGCATTAGGATTTGGGATTTCTAACTTTTTCATCCACATTTGCATTGTACTTAGGATTTAGGCTTTTCAGTTTTTTCATCCACTTTTACATTCATTTTTGTGATCACTACCACAATATCGTACGTGCATATGTCTCAACTTTAAATCATAAATCATAAATTATTTATCACATTCTGTACATATGAAGAAAACATTTAGTCCACATAAGCATTTAAATAAGCATGCACTTCGTGCAAGGAAACGCACCTTAACGTAAACAACTTCTTTCTGCTCCCCATCTAGAACTTATTCTTTGTTTCTTTCACCTATCATCGTAGATATATCTTGCTTTAAATATGACGAAAGTGTTCTCTAATGAAATTTGACTATACTTTTATCTACTTTTAAATATTTTGTATAAATCAAATTTCTTAGAATTTATACCATTTTACTAATACATTTTATATCCTAATATTGAAAAATATAGTATTCTATTTTCTTATATTGTTGTACCATAAATTTCTTTAAAAATATTCTATAAAAAATATTGGAGGGTTTCCAAATTTCTATTAACCCTATTATTTAAAAAAGAATGACATAAAATACTATATGTGAAATTAACCTAAAGATAAATATGATTTAAACAAATTACTATTAAAATCCTACAGATTCATAAATAATGAAATTTTAACCATGAACTTAAATATTTGGAAGTATTATAATCTAAGAGTTTCATAAAGTTCTAACACTTCTGGCTATTAAGAATAAAATAATGTATTTAAAAGAAAATACTAGTATGTTACCTCTTTAAAAGAATATTTATTAGACTAGAAGAGATCCCAAACGAATTTGGAGTCTCATAAAGGTATTTGGGCCTTGTAAGCAAATCCTTGGCTATGACTTCCTCCTTAAGTGAATCCCAATATCTTTTTATTACTTTTATGTGATTAAACTCTAAGAGGAGCCTCTTATTTATAGTATGAGACTAGCTTTCCTTTTTAAGCATTTGGTGATGTGGAACAAGAGAGTTTTACACTAATCCATTGCCAAAATATGAGGGGTTCATTTTTGAGAGTTTTAAATTATTTGTCTCATCTAGTAATTTTATTTTATCTTGCATTTTCTTCATAGTTATCAAATTATACTCATTTTTAATTCCGTAATTATTAACTAGCCCCCTACTTTCCTATCCACTTTAAATTCAATCCAATACTTTGAAATCTCCGCTAAAAGTGTATTATTTGACCACAAATATCTATATATACTATTTCTCAAAATCTGATTTATTTTAAAAGTTTGTCTAATCCTCATAATTCATTTTAGATTCAGTAAAAGAAATTCAATGTACTAAATGATATCTCCCTTACAGTTTCTCTTTTAAATTGTTTGATAAAATAATTTTCGGAATTTTTTCGGGTATTACATACTTATCCCCTTAAAACAAGTTTCGTCCTTGAAACTTTGTTCTGCTTTCTTCTAAGACAGGAGTTCATATTCTTCTTAGAAAAATGTATTTATAATATGTTTAATGATTACACATCTTCGTTTGCTCTTTGAAGAATCGCATTCACCACCTCATTTGATCACATAAAAAATATAACGATACGGCTAAACATTCCTTGGTTTCTCTAGCGTCTTTGATATTTCATATGAGATCTTATTTCAATTTTTCAGACATACCTTATCTAGTTAATCTCATGATCAGAAAGATTTGTAACTCATACCCGTTCTTATAAATTTTAACTACATAAATTGTTATTTTATCACTTAAAACGCTAACTCAAGAATGTTACAAATAAATACTTCATACTGTACAATTTTGTTGCCTTTTACGTGGACATAGTAACTTATGCATTTATTGTTGTCATAACAATTTCTTTTTTCTTTCTTTTTTTTTTCATTTGTGAAATGCCATCTACTTAAAGTGATTCCATTATTCTATGTATGAATTTATCATATTAGCTACCTATATGATTCTCAAAGATTTTTCTTTAAAATCTATTCGTACAATTAAACCTCCTTGATTAACTCTATTAGGGTGTAGTTAGTTCCAAATGTTTTGATCCTTGGAGTGTAAGAATTAATCCCTCATAACCTATTAAGTAATTATAATTATAAAAGTTTTGGAGTATACAATGTCAAGTCTATATTCATAAAGTGCATCTGCACGCTTGCTTGATATGCTTTGCACTAACCTTTGATTTACTCACGACTAGTGATTCTTTATTTTTAAAACCATCTTCTTAATTGATTGTCTTTGAAACCTATACCTCACAGGTTTTTTTTTTTTAATTTTTTTATTTCAGCTAGCCTTATATCTCTAATGGATTTGTAGTCATTGATAATTAATCATATGATCTCTTTTAATGTTTAACCATACCAAATCATTTGCATTATTTTTTTTTTTTTTACACAACTGAAGTCATGCTATAGAGATTAGGAAACATGTATATAACATGGCGTTTCTAACCCTCTCTTGACTTAAATGTTTGTAACTTTATGAGAACTTCAAAAATGATCCCTCTTCCAGGTTATCTTTCAACTCCTATTATTTCGTTCAATAAAGGAAAATGAAATAATCTTAAGTAGTATGATAATATGTATTCTTTTACTACCAATTGTTATGAAATCAGTTTTCAGGATCGGACATGTTAACCATTATGTCTAATTATGTTGCAATTTTATCATGATATACAAAACTCTACAAAGTAGTTATGAATCCATTCATAGACTACGTTACGTACACACTCAAACTTTTACGATATGGATAATAACTTGTAAGTATATTACTTTAATTCTTATAAATTTCATAACCACTAAGGTGCAAATGTGTAAGTACCGATTATTTTGGCCACTAATCTCACTAACCATTAATTTTTTTTTAATTTAATTCATTCTAGTCAATCACTCTTCACACTATTGAGTATCTTAGCTTTGTATACTCTTTAAGGTAGAAGTCAACAACTAGAGCATACTTCCCTTTGATATAGAGATCATAAGCTCATAAAATAAATTATTCTTAATATTGTTATTTCATGCGTTAACAAAAATTAAGATGATTATATAGGGAATATGAATCCTAGTATCCTTTTTGTTTTTGTTTTTTTTTTTCTAAAAGGTTCTTGAAGCACTCAACCAAATCTTAAGAAAGATCAATAGTCCTAGTTAAAATTTAATGATTTCTACTATGATCATTGGAGTCATATATATGTTATTTTGAATGTTTAAACCATTCGTAGTTATTTTGAAATTTCCAAATACTATATACTTACACCCTTAAAATAAGCTTCATCCTTGATACTTTATCGCGCTAACTCTTTAGATATATAGGATTTTAAATTATTGTCTTTGTGAATTAGATGTATAGGATTTTAAATTATTGTCTTTGAATTCACAAGATTACTATTCTAACTAATTCCTTACTTCTTAAAATTTATTTTGAAATTCTGGTAACATTTTTTTTTGTTCTTAATCATAAAATCTCACAGGAACTTAATTAGGTTTGATCTTACTCCAAGTTCCATCCATTGTTCTAACTTCAGGTCATACTAGATATTCATCTAACTTACTCCAAAAAACTTGTAGTAGTATTCAATCCTAAACCTATTTCTCTAATATCATTTCTGTTACGAAAACTAGAGCCTAGTTGACATGCCACAAGTACAACAAAGAACTTTTTCCAATGTTATACAAGTAAGGCACTTACTTCTTCTTAACTATCTAAGGCACTAAAATTTTTTTTCGAAACTAGTAACATTTTCTTTTTCTAAATAATACTCTACCTTATATTATAGCCTAAACTAAACTATTATAGTATTCGTAGAAATATTCTTCTAACTCTCTGTTGCACTTGACAAAGTCTACCATTCTTTCTCATCAAACTTCCTTCACAGCCACCATCATTGTTGTCACTCGAATTATCTAACGGGGGATCAGTACATGTATATTCAAATACTTACATAAATATAAAAACATTTCACACAAACATGACCATTTCAAATAAACATTTCATACTTTTCTTCTTTTCAAAAATTGAGACATAGATATATATTTTATTGAGGTACCCTGTGCACAGTTCTGGATTTAAGTCCTCCAAAAATTGAGACACTTTAACATTAAGGCCTTCCAGCCCATCAATTACTTTGGGGTTTGGGCTTTCCAGCTTTTTCACCCCCTTTTTATTTGCATTAGGATTTGGGCTTTCCAGCTTATTCATCCACATTTGCATTTTACTTAGGATTTAAGATTTCCAACTTTTTCATCCACTTTTACATTCACTTTTGTGATCATTACCACAATGCCGTACGTGCATAAGTCTCAACTTTAAATCATAAATCATTCATCACATTCCGTGCATATGAAATAAAACATTTAGTCCACATAAGTATTTAAATAAGCATGTACTTCGTGCGAGGGAACGCACCTTAACGTAAACAACCTCTTTCTTCTCCCCATCTAGGACTTGTTCCTTATTTCTTTCACCTACCATCGTAGATATATCTTGCTTTAAATATGACTAAAGTGTTTTCTACAAGAAATTTGACTATACTTTTATCTAATCTTAAATATTTTGTATAAATCATTTTCTTAGAATATATACCATTTTACTAATACATTTTATATCCTAATATTGGAAATATAGTATTCTATTTTCTGATATTGTTGTACCATAAATTTCTTTAAAAATAGTCTATAAAAAATATTGGAGGGTTTACAAATTTCTATTAACCCTATTATTTAAAAAGGAATGATATAAAATACTATATGGAAAATTAACCTAAAGATAAATATAATTTAAACAAATTATTATTAAAATCCTACATATTCATAAATAATGAAATGTTAATCATGAGCTTAAATATTTGTAAGTATTATAATATAAGAGTTTCATAAATTTCTAACACTTCTAGCCATTAAGAATAAAATAATGTATTTAACAGAAAAGACTAGTATGTTACATCCTTAGAAGAATATTTTTTGGACTAGAAGAGATCGCAAACGAATTTGGATTCTCACAAGGGTATTTGGGCCTTTTAAGCAAATTCTAGGCCATGGCTTCCTCCTTAAGTGAATCCCAATACCTTTTTATTACTTTTATGTGATTACACTCTAAAGGGCGCCTCTTATTTATAGTATAAGACTAGCTCTCCTTTTTAAGCGTCTGGCTATGTGGGACAAGAGAGTTTTACACTAATTCATTGCCAAAAATATGGTGGGTTCATTTTTGAGAGTTTTAAATTATTTGTCTCATCTAGTACTTTTATTTTATCTTAAATTTTCTTCATAGTTCTCAAATTACACTCATTTTTAATTTCGTAATTATTAACTAGCCCCTACTTTTGTATTCACTTTAAATTATATCCAATACTTTTAAATCTCCCCTAAAAGTGTATTATTTGACCACAAATATTCATATATACTATTTCTCAAAATCTGATTTATTTTAAAAGTTTGTCTAATCCTCATAGTTCATTTTAGATTCAGTAAAAGGAATTCAATGTACTAAATGATATCTCCCTTACAGTTTCTCTTTGAAATTGTTTGATAAAATAATTTTTGGAATTTTTCCGGGTATTACAGAATCGAACCCTGGTTTATTATTAGGAAAGACATCAACCTAACCACTAGGCTGTCATTCAATTCCCAAGGTGAGTATATATTATATTTTTACTTTGACGATATATATTACATATATATTTTTTTAAGAAAAATGGCTCAATTTTATCATAGTCTGAAGATCATGATGCTTGAAGATTTAGCTGTAGTTTGTACAGTTGATTGATAGTTGACATTGACCTTTTGCGGGAGGGTTGGGTAGGGTAGCTAGGGGATTAGGATGGGACGATATATATATATATATATATATATATATATATATATATTATCTATATATATATTTAAGAAAAATGGCTCAATTTTATCATAGTCTGAAGATCATGATGCTTGAAGATTTAGCTGTAGTTTGTACAGTTGATTGATAGTTGACATTGACCTGTTGCGGGAGGGTTGGGTAGGTTAGTTAGAGGATTAGGATGTGAGATAGTTATTATCAGGAGATCGAGGGTTCGATTCTCGCTGGGGCCATCCAATTTTTAAAAAAAAAAAACAAGAAGAAGAAGATGACATTGACCAGTCTTTTGTATAGTTGACTTCATTGTGTAAGTTAAGTATAGCAATCGTGTAGAATTAATATTTCAGGTGGTAACTTGTAAATAGTGAAAGTATATCTGATTTAATACAGTTATAAATAGAACTTCTGTACATTTAACTAATGATTGTTACTGAACCCGATTTAGAAGAGTGATGAATGGTGTATGTTCAAAAAGTTGAAGAAGAATGTGGCCTGTGTAGTTGTAATGGCTTGTGTGTATTATGTCTGGACAGAAAGAAACACCAGGAAATTTGCCCAGAAGATCAAAACAGGTAACGAAATTTCTCCTTACCTATTTATCTAAGTTGTAAATGAACCAAGGATTCAACTGTATTTTGACAGAATCCAGTTGAAGTGGATTTCTCTCTCTAAGCCTGGTACTGCCACCACCGTTGCAAACCACCCATCTTTGTCGATCAACCAACTTTTGGCTCAACCAACTGCTTTCCATTACCTCCATCAACATCGTAACAATCACCATCACCTGAATACCTGAGGCCTAGATTTGGACAAAAACAACACTTTTAAAATTTCTTGGAAGACAGAATACGGCAAAGGCATAGAATGTAATCATTACCAAAAAGACACTTTCTGCTCACACTCTGCACAATAGTCCACCGGTGTCATTGTCCAGATCTGCTTGCTTACACCATCAAATTTTCATGCAAATTCTCCTTATTCCACCTGTTTTCTGCATGTAAACTTTAAACCTTCCAGTCTGCTGTTATAAATTTTCATCCTTTGACAGAAGAAGCTACATCTTTACTCATCACATTTACTGCTATTCTGTTTTTTGCTATCACTACCAAATAACAATAACCTTTTCAAGAGCTTTTATTACTTTCATCAAAACCCTTTTCCCCAGCCACCCTATATTTATTCTCAAATGACAACCCGTTTCTTTGAAGATGATATGTCAACGGATGATTGGGGTTCTCATCCTGAGGATCGTATGGATACAGGAGAACATATAGATCCTTATTAATCCTTTCACCGTAGTACTTTTGTTCAAATGCATCCCCATGATTCAGCTTTTGCTCTTGCCAGATACCAACACTGTTTGGTTGGCTTTCTCTTAGATGATCGTTCTTTCAGTCTTGACTACATGCAACAATATGTTCGCACTTACTGGGGTCTGCCTGCCCGAGTTATTCACAAAGACAAAAATTGTTACTATAACAAATTGGAAGGTGCTGAGCATTGTGCCATGGTGCTTCACAATGGGCCTTATGCCATTGATGGAGCTTTGATTGTGGTAGGGCGATTGGAACCCGAATCTCACCCCAAATTACGTTTGGTTGCAGAGAATTCTCATCTGATATGCCTGTATGGCCTTCCAGTGGAATACCTAACCCAACAAGCAGCAAGGCATATAGCCTCGGCTATTGGGGAAGTGCAGGAGGTTCGCACCGGCTATTTGGACACCCGCCACACCACTTTTCTCCGGGCTTGGGTTTGGATCAGGCCAGTAGATCCACTCAGTACATGAACGCATGCCGGATTAACAGATGGCCGTACCATTTGGCTTAACTATCGCTATGAACGGATGTTCATCTATTGTCGCTGATGTGGTGTTATCGGACATGAAGTTCCAAACTGCCCCACCAGAGATAACTTCAGGCTAGAGCTGCAACTTGAGGAGAGTTTTCAAGGAATGAGCAATGCCTGAAACCTTCCGCTGGTATCTGATCAATCCCGACCACTATTTCCTGATGATTTGGCGGCTTTTCGGGATCAACCAGAACGACGAAACACTACTATTCCCTCTCGATATGTTCGCGATAATTTCCAGTTTTTCGGGAATATCAGCCAGGCTTCTACACTGATGGGTACTTTTACACATAGTCTACTGTCACCACAATCACCACAAGGCATCCAGGAGTTATTTTTCAAGAGGAATTGGAACGCCAGGCAGCCATGCTACCACTCACAGAAATACAAAATCAGAGGGATCACGACAATGATAATAACTGGTCCCTCCTTGAGGATTTTATGATTCCAGAAGACCCACACGACATGCCGGTGAACCGAATCCAGGCAGAGGGCATGACACAACATCCGCATCCACGTACAACTCCAGGCGATGAAGCTGGCTCCTCTAATCCGGTAACAAGAAATATACAGATTCGACATACGATCAAGAATGGAGAGATTATTGAACATCAATACATGGAGGTTGGAGCTTTCAAAATTTCTCTATTGGAATATAGGGTTGGCAATGCAGAAGAAGCTCCTCAATCGACTCCCCAGCAGCCGCTGCCGGAGGAAGGTTTCGCTTTCGCCGCAGAATTTATGGTTACAGCTGATTCAGAGATTCCAAGAAATCCAAGAGAGATTGATCCTATGCCACGTGCATGTTTTATCATGTGGCAGCCATGGTGCCCAACGGAGTTGTCACACAATTTCCCGAATGCCATTCAAGTAATTGACCCACGCGCAATAAAACTCTGTTACAGCTTCGTCTGGGTACTGTAGCATACAGTAAATCCGAAGACTCAAATGCAGCAACAGAAATGGGCCATTCTGCTCTCAGCCCTTCCAATGATGTGCTACTATATTTTCCTGACCCAAACTCAAAAGAAGTCCAACAATGGTTATCTATAAATCCTTGGGCCACACCATTATCATAACAGCCCCATTCCCCCTCTGAAGCCCAACCAAATCAACAGATGCAAACCCCGGCCCAAATTTAATTGTCAACCTCTGATTCATCCAACCCACCAATTTGTCCCAAGTATAACGTCTCTACTTCCCTAAGCCCCATAATCGAAGAAGAGGAAACGGAGCCTAACACAGAGCTATTCTTGACGGCGGCACATAGGCGACGGTGGAACAAAGAGGGCAAACGTAAGCAAGGTGAATCTTCAGCAACAGAAGCATCAGATGTAGAGCAATCAGACAACCCTCCATCTCCAGCAAGACAGTTCTCTCCCCCTCCACCAGTGCTTGAAACTATAGAGCCACCGTTGATGATGCCATGCGAAGACATCTCTAACACTGAGGCCACTATGGAATGGGCAATTCAAGAAGCCGGCATCACTTTAGGAGCAGGGAAAGCCACCGCAAAAAGGAAAATTCAACAGCTATTAGAGATAAAGAAATTTCAGCGTCGTCGTACAAGGGAAGCAGATCTCCTGGAGGGACGAAACAGTGTCACTAACATTGAAGTGCCCAGGATTCAGAGGAACCAGACTCGCCTACCAGAGAAGCCACCTTCTTGGCGGTTCAGTATCATGATATTTTTTAGCTTCTCACGGATGGTATACAGCAACTGTCGGATCTGAATCCAGTCACTTCACAGCATACTACTGCTTCAATTGAAAATGTTCTGCCAGGAAATGTGACCATCGAAACAAGGGTTTCGCCGACGTTCGGTAAATGCTAACCCATCTCCTGAATTAAACAAGATGCTCCAATTGTTAAATCTTAGCGAAATCATTAATCAGAGCCCTTAGTTTACATGGTCAAATAAACGACAAGGCAATGCAAGGATTTATGAAAGATTGGACCGTGGTTTTGCAAATTCGACATGGTTTGATAATTTTACAAATGCCCAAATTCAAAATTTTCCGATAATGATCTCGGATCACGATCCTATGCTACTTGATACTAATAAGACATAATCGCCCCAAAGTGCCTTTGCGTTTTGAATCATTCTAGGCACATACCGATGCTTGTAAACAAATCATCAACAAGGTTTGGCAACAAAACACAATAGCCAGTCTACCTTCTACACAAAGACTTTCTCAAAATCTCAATCAGAGCCTTGTTCATCTCGACAATTGGAATCGCAAAACCTATGCATATCTGCCTAGGAAAATAAAGCATACAATGCAAGATCTTGCGAATATGGCAAATTCTCATCCAAGCATATCAAATCAAGCACTTTTGGACGCCAAGGAAAGAGAATTGGAGGAGCTACTTGACATGGAAAATCTATATTGGCAACAACGATCCAAAAGGTTGTGGCATGTGAAAGGGGAACGTAACACTAAATTTTACCATAAATGGGCGACAATACGTAAAGGTTGCACTAGCATTCAGGGGGTCAAAAATAATCAAGGGGAATGGATAATCGATCCAAGTGAGGTCCAACACATCATGCTACAACATTACCAATCTCTCTATTGCAATAAAGATCCCTACGCTAGTGACAGACCAGATATCTTCTCTTTTGAAGAACTGCTAGACTGCATATCACTAGTTTTGGATGAAGAACAATTATCAATACTGCAAGCCCCCTTCACGTCGGAAGAAATCAAACAGACAGTATGGCAAATATCTCCATGGAAATCTCCAAGCCCCGATGGTATTCCCGCCGGATTCTACCAAAAATACTGGCCTATAATCGGGGATACAGTTATTGCAGCAGTTATGGACTTTTTTCATACGGGAACAATGCCAGAAGGATGGAATGACACTACAATAATAGTTCTTCCCAAAGTACCATCCCCGGAGTCACCAGGTGAGTATCGACCAATCAGTTTCAGTAATGTTAAATATAAAATCATAGCGAAAATGCTAGCCAATCGTCTCAAGAGAGTATTACACTTGGTAATTGATGAAACGCAAAATGGTTTTATTCCCCAGAGGCATATAAGTGAAAATATCATAACTACCCGGGAAATATTACATCACATCAGAAATTATAAGGCAAAAAGGAAAGGCCTTGCCGCAATCAAAATCGACATGAATAAAGTCTTTGATAGAGTATCATGGCAGTTTTTGAGTGAGGTGATGAAAAAGATGAATTTCTCGCCTGTTTGGATAAATTGGATTACTCAGTGCATCACGACAGTAAATTAATACATCTTGATAAATGACTAATTCACCATTTTTCACACCAACTAAAGGAGTCCGTCAAGGTTGCCCTCTCTCCCCGTATTTATTTTTAATTAGACAGCAGGCATTTTCATCAGTCCTCAATCGTCCGGTAAGCAGTGCTCCAGTTGGCATCCAAATAGCTCGACAAGCTCAAAGAGTATCACACCTTATGTACGCAGATGATACTATCATCTTCACAGAATGTTCCTATCAGCATATCAATGACCTCGCCAACAAAATTTCTAGTTTTGCTAAATGGTCAGGTCAACAGGTGAATTTCCATAAATCAAGCATCTTTCTTAGTCCAAGAATGAATCACACAGACGCATTATGGGTGAAGATCGCCCTCAATATTCACAAACCATTACTGGAGGATGCTTACCTGGGTGCACCTCTTAACTTCGAAAGGTCCAAGCAGGCAACTTTCACAAGTAGGATCTCCAAGTTGAAGAAAAAGATTTTAACATGGAAAACAGCCTCTCTATCCACACAAGGGCGAATCACCCTAGCCAAATCAGCATTATCATCGTCTGTTCTCTATCTTATGGGAGTTTTTAAGCTTCCGAATGCAACAGCCACAACAATAGACAGAATTATGAGAAATTTCATATGGAGCAAATCAGATACAAAGAAAGGGATTCACTGGATTGACTGGAACAAAGTCTGCTCTTCAAAATTGCGAGGCGGCCTTGGAATGAGAAAGACAAAAGAAATGAATCAAGCATTGCTAGCCAAACTAGACTGGAAAATTATTAAGTATCCCCAGTCTCTACTTGTGTGATTATTACTGGCAAAATATTGTCGCGACACAGATTTCTTAGAAATCGAAAATGATACGAATGCCTCCTGGGGATGGCAGAGTATATTATGGAGACGGGATTTGTTACGTTCAGCTCTAAAATGGCAGATCAAGTCTGGCAAGGATGTGGAAATTCAGGAGCAATGGATCCCAAGTTTAATGAACCCATTGAGCTTCCTCCCTTCGCCAAATCCTATGCATTTGAAAGTTTGCCATTTTATTGATGAAAATAAGCAATGGAAGCCGTCCCTGCTGCCTCTTGTCTTCCCAGAAGAACATGTTAGGCGTATTCTCTCACTCCACATACCACAAACAATTTCGGATCCCCAAGATGAACTTATTTGGACCCTGGAAAAAAAAGGTCAGTATAAGGTGAAGTCAGGATACCATCAGGCAGCTAATCGTCATACGCGATCCCTCCCATCGGCATCAACTAGTCAATCTTTAGTAATTATGCAGAATGCTGTGTGGAAGAAGTTATGGTCCTTCCGTTTACAGGCTAAAGTGCAACATTTCATATGGAAACTCCTACATGGAAAATGTGCTTCTGCTGACCAATTGCAGAAAAGAGGAATTTTCACTACCAACTCTATGTGCAGAATGCAATCAATCGGAAGAAACAAATACACACATTTTTCTTCAGTGTGACAAAGCCTGACGGGTTTGGTTCTTATCAAGATATGGATTTAATTTTCAACAGGGTCAGCCAATTTCCATTCAACAATGGCTAACAAATTGGTTTACAGAGGCACCCGACAGAGAGCTGCTGGAGGAATCCTTGGTGATTTTATGGCACATCTGGAAAAGCAGAAACAAGTTGTATTGGGAGCACAAACAAGACACACCTGAAGAAGTTATTTTTCATGCCAAGATGGAATATCGTGCTTTCAGACAGAGCTGGAATTTGGACTCTCAACAAAATGAAATCCAACATGAACCCTCCCTGCATGATCCAGGTAATGAGGAGATATTAGCAATGTATTTTGATGGAGCCTTCAATCAAGATACTCTCGATGCAGTAGGAGCATGGGCTTTGTCTAACTCAGAAACTGCGCTCCCAAGCACTCACACTATAAAATTTACAGCACTTTCGGTGCTCCAAGCAGAGGCCTACACCTGCCTAGAGGCTATTAAATTTGCGCTACAAAATCAAATTATTGTGAATACTATAGGAACTGACTCACTCACCTTAGTGAGCTCTCTTAGGAATCCGGCAATGACACCGGTAGAAATCAGAACCATTGTAGATGATATTCTTCACTACCAGAGGTTGTATAATGTTTATAAAGTATGCAAAGTTAGACGAGATAGGCTAACTGTTGTACATAGCTTAGCAAAAGCCTGTAATCAAGTTACTGTCTTCCAATAATATTAATAAATACTAGTTTATTTTTTAGTCAAGAAAACAAAAACCCGATTTAATAAAAACAGATTTCCCCCAATTCTATAAACCCTAACTGTCGTTGAATACTGAATACTCTATGAAATCCCAATCCTGTCTTGTTTGATATTCCTTATAAAATAACAAACCAAATAATTCAGTCCAATCCTCAAAGTGATAGATTAAAGCCATTATGATGGAGACAAAGATATTATTTCTTTTCAAACAAAAACATTACAAGGAACTATTATGAGGATAAAAAAACGTCCAACCGAAACATTTACACATAAGTTTAATTCAAATATAGAGAAATCCATCATTCCTGATTGCACAAAAAATGAAAATATGTAGTTCCTGAAATCCCAATTCCAAAATGCCTTTGTTTCGAATGAAAAAAATTCCGGCGGGCTCCTGTTCATTCTCAAATCAGTCATCAAACTTTGTGTAAATATCAGATTACGTTGCAGTAAAACGCTAGTTATACTTATACATAACGATTTGATGTAAAAAACGGGCCGAAGAAGATCAACGATCCATATCATATACGCTGCATATGCACACTTTGGGAATCAATTAAATATACGATTTTCATAAAAGTTAGGTAGGGTTGGACTTTGGGATTGTACACATCATGAGAATCATATAGCCTTTCATGGTGATTCTCCTAGTGAGGGGAATGAGCTAGTCCTTCATTTTAGTTTTGGAATGTCAAGTTTACTTTGCAGGCCAATTAAGGAAGAAAGGATGGATCTTGACTATCTATGTGATAAGGAGTTGGTTCAAGAGAGCTATGATCAAGATGATGAGAATGTCATTAACTTTGGGGTTCAAACTAAAGGAGATGATTCACTCATGGAAATAAGTGCTCAAGAGTTTCAAGAGAGTTTGACTCTATGTGCTCCTTGAAGATCATTGATCAAGCTAGAGAGAAGAATCATTTAGGTTCTTGAATGGACGGCCTATTTGATCAAAGTGTTCAAGATTGAGTCCATTGCTACACAATTGGATAGGGTGCAAACTATCTCAATTATTTCAAGTGTTTTTTCATTCTTTTGGAGTCAATAAAGAGAATTCTACAAGTTTTGGAGTAAATTGGAGTTATCTACAACTTGAGGGGCGCAAGACCAATATTCCACTTTTGGAAGGGCGTTCAAGATATTTTACTTCAATATTTGGAGCTGATTTTCGTATTTAAAAGTATTATCTAGTCTAGAAGTTTAATTTTCTGGTTAAATAAGTCATGTGGACTGAATTAAACTAGAGTGTTTTGATTAGAAGTC